TTTCCAATGAATACTTCCTTCCAAATGTTTCAGGTCTGTCAACAGCTTATTTGTTTTCTATGCCAACTACACAACTGGAATATTGCTCGTTTTAAGTCTTATTTTCTGGATCCCAAGCCATCTTCATTTTGGTTTCATTTAGTTCATTTTGCTGGAGCATTTGCTTCAGTAGCTTTCTAAGAAAAGAAACACATGAGGAACCTCTGAGTCTGTGGTCTTATTCAGCTCAGTGAAGATTATCGGTCAAAAATCACTTCTTTCATAGACTTTGAAGGTACAGTTCCACTGTTTTCATTTCCCCCTCAATTCTCACTCCTCCTTTCCTTTCTTAAAGATACCACAAAGAAGCTGGGCACCAGTGGCTCCCGCCTCAGGAGGCTGAGATCTGAGGATTGTGTCTCAAAGCCAGCCCCAGCAGTAAAGTCTGTGAGACTCTATCTCCAATTAACCACCAGAAAACTGAAAGTGGTGCTGTGGCTCAAGAGTGCTTGCCTTGAGCTGAAGAGCTGAGGAACAGTGCCTAGTCCCTGAGTTCAAGCCCCACAACTGACCAAAAAAAAAAAAAAAGATTACCTCAAAGATAGTGTGTTTAAAGCCAAATCGAACCCTATCAGAAAATCCAACTGATTTTCCAATGTAAAAATAGATTTAAAACTAATACAAGCCATCATCACCCTCCATCTTTAAGTTCTAATTACTTTTCCTGTTTACATATGTATGTTTGTGTATTTTTGATCTCACTACGTAGTCCAGTCTGGACTTGAACTCAGAATCCTTGTGCCTTGTTCTTCCAAAATTTTGAAATACAAGGTTTTTACAAAAGAAACTTCACAAAATATAAAGATTTTGCACGCATAGTTGGAAGTGTGGAATTGCTTTAAGTTTCTTGTTTTTGCGTATGCTATTAGCTTCATATTGCAAATACCCCAGACTGCAGGGACTGGAGTTCAGCCCATATAAGGCAAGGAGCTGACAACCCTGGAAACGGCCCCCAACCACTGAGTGGGAGACAAATACTCCGCTTTTCCTTCCTTTATTCATTCCTCAGATATAATAGCAGCATGGACCTCTGTATCCAATGGGACTCTGCCCACTGTCTAGTTTTTCTATATTGGTACTTTTTGGAAAGAACTACTAAAAACCTCAGCACCACTGACATTCTATTAGTCTTAGAATCTACTTTTGGGGAAGCACAACCTGTGATACATTCATTTTCTAGGCTCTAGACTTCCAGATTGCATCCCCCGACTCCCTCTCCCCCAACCCCCTCTATGACACTAGATTTTCTCTTATTATTTTTCCATTGGAGGATCTGCTGGACATCAGTGGTGGTCATCACTAATAAACAGTCACATTTAAAAAGCCTGACAGTGGCAGATGAGAGATGGGTGTAGAACAGCATCTGACTGTACTTTTCACTTGCATTTCTCTATGTCTTTGTATGTACAGATTGGCCATTGCTTTTCTTCTTAAATGACTTTTCCCCTCATTAGTCTTTGACTTCTATAAATTCTGGATACTAATAGAGTCCAGGTTATGTTCATTGCAGAGACCTGTGTAATTGTTTTATCATGTTTTGTAACTTTTCTGCAATCCTTTTTTTTGTTGTTGTTGGTAGTATGGGTGGGCTTCAACAGGCCTGGGCACTATCCCTGAGCTTTTGTGCTCAAGGCTAGCATTCTACCACTTTAAGCCACAGCTCTACTTCTGCTTTTCTGGTGGCTAATTGGAGATGAGTCTCATGGACTTTCCTACTTGGGTTGGCTTTGAACTGTGATCCTCAGAACTCAGCCTCCTGAGTAGTTAGGATTACAGGCCTGAGCCATCAGAGGGCCACAGCCTCCCATTCTTTTTTGTGATGTTTCTTCTCTTTATGGAAGATTTTCAGAAGCTCCTTTTTACCCGATTTTTTGCATATTTATTTTATTGCTGAACACAAATGTCTCAATTATCTGAACAATTTTTCTTAAAGATATATAGTATGTCCAAGAATAATAATCATAGTAGATGTACCTAATATAGAGAATACTGATTTAGTCTGATATTGTCAACTATTTGTAACATATATTTTTCTTTTTTTAACAAAAAGTTAAACACTTTTTTAATGTGTCTGATTTTTTTTTATTATTTTTTTTGGTCAGTCGTGGGCCTAAACTCTGGACCTGGGCGCTGTCCCTCAGCTCTTCAGCTCAAGGCTAGTGCTCTACTACTTGAGCCACAGTGCCACTCCCTGCTTTTTCTGCTTATGTGGTGCTGAGGAATTGAACCCAGGGCCTCATGCATGCAAGGCAAGCACTCTACCACTGAGCCACCTTCCTAGCCCAAAAAGTTAAACACTTTTAATTTTATAAATAGATTTATCCTAGATTTAATTATTATGTAATGGTTTTCTCTGTCCCAGGCTCCAAGTTAGGTAATGGAATGAAGTGAATAAACAAAGTTCATACATCTATAACTTCCAGAGAACTGAAAAAATTCAAAAATATAGGTCACTTGAATATGCACATTCAGCATTTAGAACAAACAGAATTATCGGCTAAAAATGAGGGTAGAGAACATACATTTTTCTTTACATATATAATAATATTAATAAAATGAGTAGCATACACAATTTTTGTAACTTCAGAAAGCTTTGGCATTTTTTTAGTACTTCACTCCTAACTGCTGCAGACCATCACATTTTATAGACTAGTTACTCACTTCCTTATTGGTTGACATTGGGGGGGGCGGTCCTTCCAAGTTTAGAAAAAACTGTTGCAACAAATATCTCCGGGTCCATCTCTCTGTTTACAATAACCTTCTAGAAATGGAAGCCTTTGATCCAAATCCAGGATATCGTGAATTCCAATTCATACAGCTAACTTATACCCTAAAACAGTTGTGTCAATTTACAAGGCAGAAAATGCTATTTTTTTTTTTTATTGTGAAAATACCATACAGAGGGGTTACAATTACACGGGCAAGGTAATGAGTACATTTCTTTTTTTTTTCCAGCACAACTATGTTTATTTAATGACTACATTTCTTACCAAGCATTGTCGCCTCCTTTGTTTCCTCTTCCCATCCCCCCCCACCGTCAAAGTTGTGAAGTTCGGTTTTTGACATGTCTTGTACATCTCATTGTTGCAATGGGTCCAACTGTATCCCTATTTAAACAATTTGTTTTTGCCCTCCCCTCCCCAAATTATACCAACATCAAATACAGTGAGATCAGGGGTTACACCGTGGGGGAGGGACATACAAAACAACAAAGAAATCATCTTACAAATACGTTAGAAAAAATCACAAGAAAAAAACATTTGAATCCTTATCTTGGGGTTCATTTCCCCTAACATCAACTTATCTGACTGTTTCTGCTTGTCTCAGACATAAACTAGTAATTGCAAATAAGGGAAACCATGGGACCTATGTTTCTTTGGGCCTGGCTTACTTCACTTAATAAAATTTTTTCCAAGTCTTTCCATTCCCTAACAAATGGAGCAATGTCATTCTTTCTGATGGAGGCATAGAATTCCATTGTGCACATATACCACATTTTTTTGATCATTCATCTACTGAGGGGCATCTAGGTTGTTTCCTTATCTTAGCTATGGTAAATAATGCTGTGATAAATATAGTTGTGCTGGTAGCTTTAGTATGGTCTGGTTTGTGATCATCTGGGTAAATGCCCAAAAAATGGGATTGCTGGGTCATAGGGGAGCTCTAAGGTGGAGTCTTTTGAGGAATCTCCATACTACTTTCCAAAGTGGTTGAACAAGTTTACACTCCCACCAACAATGCAGTAAGGTTCCTTTCTGTCCATATCCCCTCCAGCATCCGTTGTTATTAGAGTTCTTGATTATAGCCATTCTAACTGGGGTGAGGTGGTATCTCAATTTTGTTTTGATTTGCATTTCTTTTATGGCTAGGGAGGTTGAGCATTTCTTCATGTGTCTATTGGCCATCCTTCTTTCCTCTTCAGAGAAGTTTCGCTTTAAGTCTTTAGCTCACTTACTTATTGGGCAGTTGTTTCTTTGAGAATTTGTTGTTGGGGGATTTAATTTTTTGAGTTCCAGGTATATTTTAGATATGAGACCCTTGTCCGTTGTCTGGCTAGTGAAGATCTTCTCCCAACCCATGGGTTTTCTATTGATCTTGCTAGCTATGCCCTTTGCCATGCAGAAGCTCTGCAACTTCATGCAATCCCATTTGTCCAACCTTTCTTTGATTTGTTGTTTCTGGATCTCTGTTAAGAAAATTTCGGCCTGTGCCAAGAGACCTAGGGTTTCTCCTATTCCATCCTGTAATTTTTTCAGAATGTTTGCTTTGACTCTGAGATCTTTTATCCATTTGGAGTTGATTCCGGTAAAGGGTGATATATAAGGATCTAGCTTTAGTTTTCTACAAGTGATTAACCAATTTTGCCAGTACCATTTACTGAAGAGGCTGTCTTTCTTCCATTCTATTTTTTTAGCTCCCTTATCGAAACTTAGATGGCTATAGGTCTGTAGGTTCATTTCTGGGTTTTCAATTCTATTTCATTGGTCCTGATGTCTGTTCTTATGCCAGTACCAAGCTGTTTTGATTACTATGGCTTTATAGTAGAGTTTGAAATTTGGTATTGATATTCCTCCAGCACTGTTCTTTTTGTTAAGGATCATTTTTGCTATTTGGGGCCTTTTATTGTTCCATATGAATTTTTGGATTGCCTCTTCTATTTCCTTGAAGAATGAGGCTGGAATATTTATAGATATTGCATTGAATTTGTAGATAGCCTTGGGAAGTATTGCCATTTTCACGATGTTGATCCTTCTAATCCAGGAGCATGGGAGGTTTTGTCACTTTCTAAGTTCTGTTTTAAATGCTATTTCTTTTGCATACCAAATAATTTATGTCCTGCTAACATGGTAGCACATTTTAGTCTCATTTAAGAAAAAAAAACAACTTTGTAAAGTTTTAGCTTCTAACTTGCTAATTTTGGTTTCTAGTAATATCCATTCTTAGTTCATTATCTCTATGAATTTTTAACTGCAGCTATCATTTTTATTGCTCTCTTTTGGGTAAAGAACATTACCACAGTGGCCCTCGAATCCCACAAAAGATTAGAAAGAAATTTCACAGGTCTCATAGTGCTCCTTAGGTAATCTCCTTCTGTTTCTTGACCAGCCCTATAGATAATGATGGAGTTCTCAATTTACTGAGTCCCTGTCTAAGTCAAAAGAACTTTGTTCAGAAGTGTGATGTGCACAGAATAATTCACATGCCCAACTCTGACCTAATTTTCTGTTAAAAATGTGAGTTATAGCTCTCTGTTCCCGTCCCTGCCCTATAGACTTATCTATCTAGTTCCTATCTCTGTGGGCCCTTACATTAACTCATGTTCCCAGGGCACTCTCCCACTTCAGGCCTTTTTGCAGATAAATATGTTGTCTTGAGCAGGTATTGGGAGGAAGTCAGTTCTGGCCTTGGAGCAAGGGTGCTGAGTCAGTTATGCCAAGAGATGTTTCCTAAATGGTATTTAATATAACCTCCCTAATATTAATGAGGAATAAAAACATACTGCTTAGATATAATTATCCAGTGGCTAAGACTGTGACTGGGTAGTAGAGTGCAAACCTACCATGTGTGAGGTCCTGTGCTTGATCTCTAGAACCATAAAACAAGCATGCAAGAAAACACATAAGCAAACAAAAAAATTATAGATCTAAAGTAAATATATATCTTTTTCCAATGTAAAAATGCATTAATTTTAAGGGGAGAAGGGTTTGGCACAACTTGAAATAAACCAGAAAACATCTTTATATTAATCAATCTTCTCGTATACTTCAAATTTGTACTTAATGCCCTTTTCCTCCTGGACCTCAGAGAGCACACCTGGGTATCTGTAAAAGAAAAGGACATGCGCTTTAAGTAGCATCCACTGAAAGCAGAGCTCCCCTGACTTCTCACCCAACAGGCGTCCACAGTATGTGAGTCAATCAGTTTTCCCTTTTTCTTCCAAATGGTAACTCAGCCACTGTTGAAGAAGTGACTATCAGGCTAAGATACGACACAGACAAATGGTAAGACAAAATAGCAAACTACATGATTATAAAATGAAGTGCAATTTCTTATCCTGATTCCTAATTCTTTTCTAAAAACAGTTTGTCTTGTATCTATTCTATCTCCAACCTAACATGAAATTTCCTAAGCATATTTTGCAAGTGTTACAAATTGGTACCATATTTCATATGTTAAACAAAGGAAAAATGAAATATCATCTATGGCTGTTTAGAATCCATGCAAGATATGGATTCTGTTTCCTGGAGGCCAGCATGGTTCTAACTCCCTATCTACCTAATCTTTGCTACCCTCGGGTATCTGCTCCCTTCAGCTTCCCATTCAAAAGAAGTTCTCTGTTCAATTCTGCCCTAACCCCTGGGCTCCAAACCTGTACTCCTGTCACTCAAACCTTGTTACTTCACTCAGTGTGTGTTGCTGGGGGTTAGAGGCAGCTGCTGTAGTCACACCATGCCTGCCACTGGCTGGTATCCTCATAAAAAAATCTGGCATTGCGCCTGGCATGAAAAATGCTCCACCAGTATTACAGGTTTTTGTCCCTTTAACTACTTTTGAAATTTATGGTAGGCAAAAAACACATAAAAAATTAATTTCTTGTGATATACATTATTAAATAGTCAGACATTAATTTTTTCAGTGGCTAATTACAGAGATTATTGTGATAAAAAGAAAGACAGAAAGTAACAAACAGCCTAACAATGTGTAAGGAGAACACAATGGTATTTTGTCTGTAGTAATTTATATCTCAGACTAACAAACCATGTTTCTATTTGCCAACCATTTCTAATCTATTGCTGTTCCGCTATTTAAGTAGTAGTAGAGCTGTTTTTATTAAAGAAAATAAAAAGCCAGGCCTATTTTAAAACCATAATTTTAGTTTCTTAGGAGTGAGTCATTAAAAGTAGCATTTACATATTTTTTGCATGTGCACAATTCTCAAGAGTGTCAAGACTGTCAGTTAATAAGACAAAAGCAAAGTACCAAGACGTTCCTTTCACAATTAAGAATAACAACTTAGAAATAACTATCCTGCTGGCTGAATATGATCGGTAGCCATGGTAATTAATATTAATCTCCTCTGTGAAGAGGAGGATTTAATTCTTCACTTTCACTTCTTCCTCTACTACTCATACATTTGTTTTGTTTTAATAATGGTCAAACTTACCGCTTAACCATAATTGAAAAGTTCTAAAGAATAAACTCTAAGATGCACACTTGGATTCAGAACTCAAATCTGGTGATAGAATTTGGGAACATCACCTATTTGTTATTAACTACCCACATAAGGACTCCTTTGTAGAAACTTGAAGCATCAAGAAAAGCAATGGATAAATAAACATCAGATCTGAACTGACAAAGGACCATAGCTCAGAGATAGAAGGTCAAAGAGGCAAACAGAATTCTTGAAAACAGGGGCTGGGAAGGTGGCTCAGTGGTAGAGTGCTTGCCTTGCATGCCTGAGGCCCTGGGTTCAATTCCTCAGCACCACATAAGCAAAAAGAAAAAAGCTGGAAGTGGCGCTGTGGCTCAAGTGGTAGAGCACTAGCCTTGAGCTGAAGAGCTGAGGGACAGTGCCCACGCCCAAAGTTCCACGACTGGACCCCCCCCCCCCCCAAACCCAATTATTGAAAACAGTTATCCAATAAATAACACACACAGACACACAAGACGAAATAAAAGATTTTAAGACATAGGCTCCAGAGGAAACATTTAAAAGGAGTGTGGACAAATATGGAACATCCTAGAGAGAGTTTTAAGTGGTGAAGTCTGAAGAGGAACTTTAAGATCTACTTCCAGCTATCTGTCTGTTAAGGGGCATCCATCCTAGCTGTGGAGCCAATTACTGCCTCAGTTACAGTTTAGGATGTTGTTTGTCCTCCATGGGTTCATGTGCTGGAGGCTTCTCTAGGGCGATCGGGAAGTGGTTTTGAGCCTTTAAAATGTGAGGCTTAAGAGGAAGTACTTAGGTAAATTGGAAGTGTGCCCATGGGACTCTAGTCTTTCTCTGGCTTCCTCTTTGGAGCTATAATCTCTTCCCATTCATGCTCCTATCACTGTGATCTCAGTTTTCTTGAGGTCCTCTAACTGGTGCTGAAATGCCATTGATATGATTTTAAACCTCCAGAACTGAGAGCCAAATACATCTCTTTACTAAAGTTAGCCTGCCTCAGGCATTACAGCAATGATCAAGGAGACAGCTTCTTTGGTATTCATCTGTTTTTGACTAGATAGTTACAGGAAGGCTGGTAACTACAAGAAAAAGCGTATTTTTCCTTAAACAAGAACCTGCCGATATATATTTGGGCCTGTTAGTTTGGTTGGGGATTCATGTGAGACTGAGATAGAAAGATTTCTTCCAAGATGGATGATTGAGAACAGAACCTCATAGGACAGACTGGTATGGTACCATTGAAAGAATACTTAAGAGGAGGTAAACATGTTTGACAGGAAATGTACTCATTACCTTACTTATGTAACTGTAACCCCTCTGTACAACACAACACCTTACAATAAAATAAAATTAAAACCCCAATTACCCACTCCCTCCACCAAAGAAAAAGAATACTTGCAGAAGCAATGACCTATGGAGTTTAAAAAAAAGGCAGACACAGAGTAAAACCATCTCACTTTGTTAATATTAACTTCTGTTTTCAGGTTTTAATCATTTGTGGCTTCATCTACTTTCTAAATTTATCTTTTTTTAAACCTCACCATAGTTCTCACTTTCATTTTTATTTCATTATATTAGTACTAATTTTTTTCCCTCTTCTAAGCCAATAAGTAGAGTTAATAAAAGATACTATATTTGAACTGAAGCCTGGATCACCACAAAAGGATACTGATAGAGATAATGGGAGTCTAAACTAAGGAGGTGGTATGGAGGGGGAAAAAGAGGAAATGGAAAATGACCAAAGGTTGTTTCAGGACAATAGGGAGCAATGACAAGTTTTCTAATATATTGAGGACTGGAGAGAAAGTCTCCAAATGGAGCAGTGTTACAGTCTTTCAGAGCTTTCCTTTTTTTCTCTATTTAATGAAAGACTGACCTACTCCATGTTTACCCTTTGGAATTCCCTCCACTCCATATTAAGGAGGTTGCCCTACTGGTAATATACACTGAAATCACAGAAAACTACAAATACTGCAATGGAAGAGAGATTTTTTTCATTGTCTTTCAGTCTTGTTGAGAATGTCTGCTTCTGAGCAAGGGTATTGTTTCTATCTCAATCTACTCAACATTAAACTTTTCTAAGACACTTGAAGAAATACTACCAAACCTTCATAAGCTGTGCCAAGAAAGAGAAGAGGAGAGTGTCTCTCACTCATTCTTAAGGTCAGTTTTTTTCCTAATACCAAAATCAGGTACCGACATTAAAAGACACATGAACAAATAAACCTCTGTAGATTTAGCATTGCTTTGAGATGTAAATGTGAAAATCCTTAACAAAATACTAGCAAACTGAATTGAGCAACATTAAAAAAAGGTTATAACAATTACCAAGTTGAATTTGTACCATAATGTAAGATTAATTTAACATAAAAACTAAGTAGTATTTCATATTAATGGTATATTAAAGCACTTGTTAATAGACAAAAAAAAAATCACACAATCATCTCAGTAGATTCAGAAAAGCAAATGACAAAAATCTAACATTCGGCTGTGATAAAAAATACTCAATGAACTAGAGAAGGGCTCTTCTCTGCTTCAGTGTGATACGGGCATGTGTGACAATCCCACATGTAACATGCTGAATGCTTCTACCTAAGATCAAGGAAACAGTGTGTAAGCATGTTTGCTCTACTCACCTTCTAGAAAATATTGTATAAGATTTGAGCCAAGGTAATTTGGCATGAAAAATTAAAAAAGAAAATCCAGACCTGAAAAAGAACTAGGTTATTTCTATTTGCTGCCAACAATTATAATATAGTATAATATAATATAGAAAGTCCTAAGCAATCTCCTCACAACTAATGAATTCAGTGAAGTTGCAGGATATCAGTTCAATAAGCAAAACATCACTTGTATTTCTATAAACGGGTCGTGAAGTATGAGAATAAAATTAAGAAAAAAGACCACTTATAATAGCATCAAGAATAGAATACTCAAGAAATTTAATGAATTAATAATATAAGACATTCACTAAAAGCTATAAGACATTACTGAAAGAAATTAAAGGATCTAAGTAAGCAGAAAGCTGTCACATGCTAAAAGTTTAGAAAACAATACGGTTAAGATGAGAATACTCCTCGAGTGATTTTCATACACACAGTATTTATCAGTATCTACCAGTTTGCTTCCTGACAAACAAAAACACTAGTCATAAAATTCATATGGAGATGTAATGGACCTAGAATAGCAAAGCAATATTGCAAAATAAAACAAAATTGGAAGACATATACATATATTCCTGATTATCAAGTTTGTGGTATGGCATTGGCATAAAGATACACATTGGGTTCAGTGGAAGATAATTGAGTTCAGAAACCTCTCTCACATTTATAACTACTTGAGATTGTTATGATGGCTGCAGAACCTGGCAAATACATAACAAGTTACATACTTTCAATAGTGAATGTTAGCATGTGTGAAAGCTGTTAAAATTTTCTTTCCTATAAGAGTCAGAATGTTATTTATCAAGGATCCTGAAGGGTCATAGCTTTGCAGAGTTCCAGATGGGAACAGAAAGATTTGGAAAAGTACTGAAATGAAAGAGATTCACACAGTAACTCATTCTCTCTCCCTTCCTTCCTGAGCCTGGCAGCTGTCCTTGAGCTTTTGTGCTCAAGGCTAGTGCTCTACAACTAGCCACAACTCCACTTCCCCTTTTTGGTGGTTAATTGGAAGTAAGAGTCTTAGGCTGGCTTTGAGCCGGAATCCTCAAATCTCAGCTTCCTGAGTAGCTAGGATTACTAGTGTCCCGCAGTAGTTCATTCTTGTGGGTGATAGCCAAGAGAAAAAAGTGAAGAAGAGCTGAGATCTATATTTACCTACTGTGAGAATCAGTAATAACAAAGTAAGTTTTTAACATAACATATATGAAATCATCAAATGTAGTTTTTCTGTGTAATCACCTTTGGAGCCTAAGCCAAAGTCTGTATTTCAGCTGTTTAGTTTTTATAATTTTCAATTTTTCTTTAGAATAAGGAGCCCAAGAAAGCTGAGGCCCTAGTAGCTTATGCCTATAATCCTAACTACTTAAAAAAAGGATCTTGGTCTTAATATTCCTTTGGGCATTTAAAAAACAAATGTACACTCACAGAATAATTGCTAGACAAAATAGAATATTTAGAAGAATGTGCTAAAAGCAGGTCTAAAAGTACTGATGAAACATTTTTCTTTTATTCTCTCTATACTCAATAGCTGAACGATGCTTGTAAACTGAAATACTATTTTAAATCAGGTGGTCTCATGTTAGTGTCACAAATGTAATTTCTTCTATCTCCACCCACTGCTACCACATTAATCAAAATCGGCTAATCTTTGACCTGAACCACTTCAACTAAAGGTTGCTGCTTCACTCTTGCCTCCTCTGGTCCACCCCCTATAAAGCATGTATAGCTATCACGGCTGTCACAGCTGTCTAAAAATGCAGCAGGTCTGATCCCATTAGCCTTCTTCTTGTTCCCAAATGCCTGTAGTGTTCTTCAGGTTCAGATATTTCTTTCTTAGTCTCTGAATGGTTTCTGGTTCCTGGTATATTTCTCCTGCTTCTGCACGGCTGGTTTCTTTCATTTTGTTCTTATCCTACTTGTTACCTGTCTGAGAGGACTTCTCAGGCCACAGCATGTACTACCTCAGAGCACCTTGATTCTACATGCAGTACTTCTTTTCATCACTGTCATTTGTTACCCTCCCTACTACTATAAAGAATATAATCTCCAGCTGACAGCAATATCAGCAAGCCAAGTCATTACTAATGTCTTCAGTGCCTAGAACAATCTGACTTTCCTAGAATGGACTAATAATAGCTCTTCCCTTTGACAAAAATCATTAAAACCTGAACCCTTCCAAATTCATGCAGCCACTATGGGAATCAGCATGGAGGTTCTTCAAAAAACTACAAACAGAGGTATTATATAATCTGACTGCTTCGCTCCTTGGCATATACTTCAAGGAATGTAAGTAAGCATATAAAAATAGACACCATGTTTCTAGTAGACTACTTACAACACCTGAATTATGGAATCAGCCTAGGTGGCCATCAACTGAAAAATGGGTAATAAAATAAAAATGTGGTATAGATACACAACAGAGTATTACTCAGCCAAAGAAGGATGAAATTATGTTGTTTATAGGAAGATGGATGCAACTAGAGATCACTACATTAAATAAAATAAGCCAGACTAAAAAAGACAAACATTGTATGTTCTCTCTTATGTAGAATCCAGACCTAAACAAACATAAAAAGAACGAAGAGATTGTTTTGAAGTAGAAACTGCTGAAGGGCAAAAAGGAAGGTTATGTGGGGTTGAGGCAGGGTGTGAATATGATCAAGGTACTTCATATATATATATGAAAATAAAATAATTAAGCCTATTAGAAATTACTTAAAAAGTGGAAGAGATAAGGAAGAGTAATAAATAACAGAAGGGGTGAATCTAATCTAAGTCCATTATATAGAAATGTCACAAATGAATTCCTTTGTATAATTAATATATGCTACTAAGACAGAGGTAAAACAAAATATCCAATCATTTCCAAGTTTGCTGAAATTGATTTCCCAAATTACTATAGTATCTATTTATGTTGCTATTAATCTGTCTGTGTATCTATCTGATACATGGTTATCCCAAATGCAATCTAGGAGAAAAAAAAAAAATCAACTCTTTTCTGTAATCCTTAAGAGGGCAATGCAAACATACTTTAGACTAGTTAACCACTCTCTACTTACTCTGGAAGAAGTTTATATTTTTCCAAATCAATTTCTGGGAAAAATGTGTCACTTTCAAATTCCTGCATGATCCGTGTCACAAATAGTTTATGATGGCCTGGCTGATTCATGGCTTCCTTTAAAACAAAGGGAAATATACATTTTCTTTATCTGTGTCAAAAGAGAAACTCTAAGACTTTCATTAGTTAAGTTTATATCAGGTAGTAAAGCTAGTAAGCTTATAAGCTGGTGTGCTTACAAGAATTCCTTTTTAGGTAGGGACTGGTAGCTCATGCCTGTAATCCTAGCTACCTAGGATGCTGAGATCTGAAGCTTTCTGTTCAAAGCTAGCTGGGGCAGGAAAGACTACAAGACTCTGATCTCTAACTAATCACCAAAAAGCCACAGTGGAGCTGTGGTTCAAATAGTAGAACAATGGCCTTGAGAACAAAAGCTCAGGGACAGTGCCTAGGCTCTGAGTTCAAGCCCCAAGAAGGGCACAAAAAGCAAAACAAAGCAAAAAAACCTCTTTTTTAATTTAATCATTCAGTTTGGTGTTTTCCTTTGGCTGCTGTTTTAAGAATTAACCCCAAAGCTGGGCACTGGTAGCTTATACCCGTAATCCTAGCTACTCAGGAGACTGAGATCTGAGGATACTTGTTTGAAGCCAGCCCAGATAAGTCCATGGGACTCTTATCTCCAATTAGCCACTAGAAAACTAGAGGTGGCCTTGTGGCTCAAAGTCTCAAAGTGGTAAAGCACTGCTAGACTTGAGCAAAAGAGCTCAGGGACAGGGCTCAGGCCCTGAGTTCAAGCCCTATAAACAACTGAAAAAAAAAAAAGAATTAAACCCAAAGGAAAATTTACATATGTATTACTGGGCAATATAATACAATTTTATGAGATCTTTCTTATTAGAAACGCTTCTATAACAATTGTTAACAATTGTTCTTAGTCTTTTTTGTTAATAATTTTTCTGCTGCATATACTATTATTAATTTTTTTTTTTTTTTTTTGGTTAGTCGTGGGGCTTGAACTCTGGGCCTGGGCACTGTTCCTGAGCTCTTCAGCTCAAGGTGAATACTCTATCCTTTGAGCCACAGTGCCACTTCCTTATTGATAATTTTTATAGAAAAAAAAAGCTGGTTTGGAACAAATACTTTAAAATTTTAATAGAAAGGATGACTCCAAATTGCCCATTCAGTTCGATACTGGTAGTTCACACCTGTAATCCTAGCTACTCACAGGTTGAGAGCTAAGGATTGCAGTTTGAAATCAGACTGGAAGTAAAGTCCATGAGACCCTTATCTCTAGTTAACCATAAAAAAGCCCAAAGTGAAGCTGTGGCTCAAGTGGTAGAGTATGAGCAAAAGAGTTAAGAGATAGTGCTCAGGCCCTGAGTTCAAGCCCAAGTATCAGCATCAAACAAAAAAACGAAAGAACAAAATCAAACTGTGGATCCAAGAAAGCAGTAATAATTTTTGTTCCTCAAACATACATAAGGAACAGGAAAAAAATTTATATACATACATACATACATATATGAAATTCCAGGTCTGTGTTATCACTAAAATTCCTAAAAAGGGCACAGAACAAACTTTCAACTTCCATTTTTGATATTTCCAGTTATATTAAATCCTTTAGTATCTTTGCTACAACTAAATATTCTACTAATTCTTATTGTTGCCCAACTAGAAAGACTTACAGTACTTACCACAGTTCCATCCGAAGTTGTATAAAATTAACCAAGTTTTTCATAGAGGTCTATCTACTAAGTATTTTAAGCTTCGAAGGCCAGAGGGTTTCATCTATTTAGGCAAAAGCAGTCACAGACAACAGACAACACTAGACAGACAGGCACGGCTATGTGGCAATGAAGCTTTATTTATGTGGTCTATCGAAAGATCAGCCTGAATGATCTACCATCTATTATGATGGAAGCTAGGTGAATAATGAAGAACTGCAGGTTTTATTTCCTTACCATAAATCAAATTATACAAATGCATTGAAGTACTTATAGAATTTACTTATTTACATAGTTTTATAAAATATAAAGAGAGTTAAGTTACTGTTTTATAGACCAACATAAAATTGTGGTGAAAGATGTTTACTCTCCTATGAACTGTCTTAAAAACAAAAGTAGAAAAGAAATAACATCTGTAACCTAGCTGTCTGTATGGCATATCTACATCACATGTATTAAGTACTTTGAGATATAGAAATAAATGCTTGCTTTTATTAGAGAACATAAGGGTCCATTTTGCTGAGGGTAGGTCATAAAATGGAAGAGGATGCTGTCTAAGAAGTGCAGATTTTTAGAGTCAGGATTTGTGAAGAGGATTGGTTCTTGGCATAGATTGGGCTTTCAACAATCTTCAGAGGCCATGTTTTGGGTGCTTGGTCCCCAGTCTATGCTGCTACTGGGAGGAGGTGGAACCTCAAGAGGGTGGAGCCCAGTAGTTAGGAAGTTAGGCCATTGGGACAATGAAGGGGATATTAGGACAATAGTCTGTCTCTTCAAACTTTTTTACTTCTCTGTTGCCATGACATGAGCAGTTTCCTTTTGTGTGCTCCTACCACAATGTTTACATATTTTATAGTATTCAAATCATTCATTTTCAGATGAATATGGTATTGAATCATTCAAAATGTGAGTTTCTCAACAAAACAAATAACTAGTTTTCTTGAAGACACTCATATTTGGATGAAAAAAATCAAATAAAATAAATGGGGAGGGGCTGGGAAGGTGGCTCAGTGGTAGAGTGCTTGCCTTGCATGCATGAGGCCCTGGGTTCGATTCCTCAGCACCACATAAGCAGAAAAAGCCGGAAGTGGGGCTGAGGCTCAAGTGGTAGAGCGCTAGCCTTGAGCTGAAGAGCTCAGGGGCAGTGCCCAGGCCCAGAGTTCAAGCCCCATGACTGACCCCTCCCCCCCAAAAAAATAAATAAATGGAGAAAATAAGGTTATAAAAATGTAAGAAATTGAGAAGGAGCCTAGAATTGTTCTTTCTCAAATAAATTTAGTGGATATATGTTTCCATAAGCCTAAAAGGGTATGGACTGAATTTCTTTGTGTCCATAAATATTAATCTGGGGCTAGAGGATTAATTCAAGCGATACAGGGGTATGAGGTCATCAGTAACACACACACACACACACACACACACACACACACACACACACACACACACACACACACACACACACACACACACACACACACACACACACAGTATATTTAAGAATCAAAGAGCTCCTAAAAAATCTAACGTTAGAAGTTATTAAGAAAAAATGGAAAAAAAAATTCTTTTGTACCCTATTTTTCCTTATGATATGACATCATATCCTGTACCCTCACATTATATGCAAATTGTTGAGGAAAAGCTTTTGTTCTACTTTGAACAAACATACATTGAGTTACCTATCACCTGAGAGCCCTATGCTTTTCTCAGTGAGACGTTTCTCAGAGAAACAAAGAGATAACAGCATATCTAGATAGAACACAGTAAGGTGTGAATGTAATTCTCAGAAAGAATTTTAGGATGGTTTTAACCTGGAAACTTCAGCTAGTGTTTTGAGCTGAAAATAAACTGATATGTGGGAAGATGTTGGTCAAAGGATAAAGATTTCAGTTCTATAGGAAGAGTACATTTAGTGGGTCTATTGTATAACTTGATGGCTATCATCAGTAACAATGTATTGTGCTTGTAAAAATGGCTCAGAATTGATTTTAAGTGTCCTTACTACAAAAAATAAGTGAGGTAGCATACATGTTATTTAGCTCAATTTAGCCATTCTATAAATGTACACGTATTTCAAAACACCTTGTTCATAATATCTGTGCTCTTACTTGCCAGTTAAAAAATAGTTAAGGAGAAGAACTAGACTGAAAAAAGAAAATAACTGGTATAGACTAAAGAAATTCCTGGGCATGGCAATGTCAAATGACAATTCTAGCACACAAGTTGTCTAGCTTATAAGTAGTGATAATGTGCTCCTTCTAAGGCTCATGGCTTAAATTTTTAGTTTCAGACAATGGGTTATATCCTATCTTCTCATCTTCTCTTTAAATGGCAAGAGAGCTGAAATAAAGTAGGGGGAACATTTAGTTTATTTATAGATCATTTTACTTACCTTATAAACAGAACTGCCTCCTACTATCCAAACCATGTCTACTTTATTGTTTAATTCTGGTTGCTCAATAAGTTTTAAGGCTTCATCTAAACTTTTGGCCAGAAAATGAGCTCCTTGTGGGGGTTCCCTGAGGGAGCAGGGGGGAAGAAAAAAAAAAAAAAAGAAAAATCACTGGTTTTGAAAAATCTACACATACTAGTATAATAATCTGAATAAGAAGCAGTGATTATAAAACTAGAAGCATCATAAATGTGAAATTTCAGTAAAAAATACTTAACATCAGTATGGCCTATAAGCAGTATCTAGTATACATTTTGCACACAAAGGAGCCACATCAACTGAAACACAAAAACTCATGTGGTATCTCATGAGGTTAGAAAAAAATCACAATAGTTGGCCCTGTAATAGGGGGTAAGGATTAACTGGGTAAAACCATGACTGGGCTCCCTGGAGGTTAAGATAATGTTCTGTTCTGAATCTTTGACCAGGGTCTGGCTTACACAGGTATAAACTTGTCAGAACTTAGCAAAAATATTTACTTCAGCAGAAAAACTCAATAAAATAGTAAATTACAGTTAATGATATATATGAAGTATATAGGCAGAAATATACTAATACCTGCAATTTTTAAAGAAATACAAATGTAAACAAAGCCAACTAATGGACAGATGGGTGTGATAAAACTAGCACCACAGAATGGTATTGAGAGAATGTAGGTGGAGGGCATAGAGCTGCTGTTTACATGTCTTTCTGTTTGAAAATTTACATGATAAAATGCTGGAAAGAGCAGGGTTGGATGACTGTAGAAAAGACTGGAGCAATAGTCAACTGTTAATATGTGGTTACTTTGGGAAAGGACTTTCATGTTTTGAACAAAACCAAAATGGGTGAAGTATTTGAAAATCAGTGTAGCAATTAAACCCCAGAAGGGAAGAGGATTTAAAATAATTTCATTGTTTCCACTGACTAGTTCAATGTCTTTCAACCTCCAGAACTCACTCATTTTGGTGAGGAGGTGAGGGGACCTACAGAATCTACGCTCTCATAGTAATTAGATACAGAAGAGACATATTAATTCGCTGTCAAGTTCTCAGCCGAGTGCTTTAAAAGTATTATGTAATTGCCCTTGAGCTGGTAGTTATGACAATGATTAATCAAGAACTAATGGAGATTATTCATTCTCTTAGCAGTAGGCTCCCTCTCTTCTTGATATCTATTTGACTTTTCTCCACTCTCTGTCATCTTTATGGGAAGGAGACAGGATAGAGCAAAGAATATTCTTTGACTCAGGCTAGAAAAAGAAAATGGAGGTCAGGTTGAAGTTAAAAGCCTGATGTTAGCAGGGAAGCTGCAGGAACTAGTTGGACTAGATTGCTGAAAGAGGATCCAAAGTGGAAGAAACAGGGACCGGGACTTGGGAGAGAACACAGTCTGGTTAACAGTGTAGGATGACAGGGACAGTTGAGGTGATTTTAGGAACTGAGGATGATGAAGTCAGCATTAATGAGAGGAGACAAATGGAAAACAACAACAACAAAACTTGACATGAGAAAGTGGAAGAGGTATTCCTGCAGCTGGTGGGTAATAGTGATATGATTTCCCAGAAGGACAAATTATTGGCAAGAATGTCTACGAGAAAGGACAATAATTTTGTGACATAAATAATTCCTTACACTTTGTAGTAACTCTGGAAATGAAAAACAAAGATGAGATTAACAATTTGTTTCAAATTTAAGTTATAAAAAGGTGCTGGGGAGATGGTTCTGTAAGATATGGCTATTTGAGCCAGGTGTGGTAGTTCATATCTATAATCTCAGCTGCTCAGGAGTTGGATACAAGAGGACTGTGGTTTCAAGTCAGCTTTGGACAAAACAAAGAAACCCTACCTGAACAATAAACTAAAAGCAAGGAGGACCAGGAGCATTGCTCAAGTGATAAAGCACTTGCATAGCAAAGAACAAGACTCTGGAAATCAAATCTCAATATTGCCACTAGAAAAATAGTTGATTTCTTAGCAGTTCAGAAATGTTTTACAGGAAATATGCTCAGCAATGCCTAAAAACTGAGGTAATGTTTGAGTTCATCAGCTTGTTCACAGAATACATTCTAGAAAAGAACACGGTAAGCAAGGACTGAAACATTCCATATTAGGACTCGCTTCATTGCTAATTTCCTTTCCATCTATATCTATATAGATACATATATATCTTCAAACTGAGTTCGGATTCTCCAACAAGAAAAGGCTGGTATGTGGTAGTATACATAATCTGTGTCAACATGTGTGGACATGTTTGGTGTGTTATTTGTGATGGAGAATCTTGTATTCTTCTAGGTAACTCCCAGAGAATTAAATGAGATAATGTTCCTAGTAGGCTTTCCACTTAATTTAACTACAACTCTGGTTGAGACTCCTTTTTAACTAACAGCTAAATGAGGGGGTATATGCCTGTCATCCTAGCTTTGTGGGAAACCTAAAGGCAGATCACAGTCTAGGCTTGTGGCTGGGCAGGAAGACCCTATCTCAGTGTAAAAACATAGCAGGAATGGGTTACCTTGAGATCCGGTTTCTTCTATACTGGGAAGAGGTATAAAATCAAGTACCTTTAAAAGGTTGCATAAACAAGTATGTAAGTGCTGGTACTTTATGCGAGACTCAGAAGAGCCTGGCATACAGCAGGTGCTCAGCATATGCATGCAATTGGCCAGCAGGTAGGGAAACAAGAGAAGGGGCAAGAAAAGAAGCCTAATAAATTATTTTTACTGACTGGTATCACTATTACTGTGGCATGCCATATAATAAAGACTTTAAATTTTCTTTTTTTCAAAAAAAAGCAAAATACACCAATGTTTATGTAAATATATAAGAAACAACCAAACCCAATTACATATACCACAGGAGGGTCATACAGAAGAAATTAGACTCATCATTTGAGAAGAAATGCTGGCTTAACTGAACATCTCCCCCACTGAGATTCCTTTATGTTTGTGTTAGCTCAAGCTAGCCATAAATAACCTTGAGTAGTATTCAAGAATATGTTATTAAAAAAAATCCCTGGGAATGGAAATACAGTTTGTGAATCTGGATTCTACCAAGAGAAGGATAATCAAAATATCCTAGCAACCAGGACAAAGAACAGCATGAAGATGGAGGCAGATGACAGGCTGCACATCAACCAGAGGCAATTAGTGCAATGGCCAGGCATTTTCCAGTCTAGAACAGATATGGGAGAAAAATCTTCATATGCCTGAAACCCTCAGTGTGTGGCTGTATAACGGGTTTAACTTGGCTAGTATATTATTCAAACAGTAATCCAGGTGTCGTTGCCAAGGTATTTGGTAGATGACTTTAATATGGGTGGGTTTCATCAAAATACAAACCACCTCACAAGAAGAGATGAAGCTTCCCCAAAGAAATTTTACTTGTAGAACTGTAGCCCCTGCTGGAGAGTTCTAGTCTGTCCTCCCTGATGCCCACTCTAAAGACTTTTGGTCTTATGGAACTATCCCCTACATCAGTGATAGCAAATTCCTTGCAAAGAAACTACTGTAGACCCATCTTCACTGGGTCTGCTTCTCTAGCTTTCCCTTCCCCAATTACCACAAGCAAGCAGCTCCCTCACATGCTGTATTCTGAATTTTTTTTTTTTTTACTGGATTATTTTGTTAAGGAAGAAATGTTCAGCATCTTGATTCAGTAACTTCTGACCAGATTAAAAAAAAAACACACAATAAAATGAAACAAACAAAAAACTCCCTGAGGTTCAGGAAGCTATTATGGTAGGTTAGGACCAGTATCAATAACCAAATGAAAAAAAGAAAAACCGAAATCAGTACATGTCATAAATGAAGTAAATGACATTGAAGCCACTAAGGTCGAATTCAGCTACTGGAGTTGACTTCATGAGTTATCTTGGTATTCTCCCAGCACCCCAAATCCCTAAGGCATTTCCAAACATCAGGAATTATTATTATTGGAGTACCATTGTTAGTTTGAAGGACAAGAAAATTCTTAGCAGAAGTCAAGTAGACACAGATGCTTCCTTCTTCTGAAACTTCCTGAATTATCTCAGTATTCTGAAATGTTTTTAACTTCAGATGCTGGATAAAGAATACAAGTATGAAATATATATATATATATATATATTCCAGTCCTGTGGCTTGAACTCAGGGCCTGGGCACTGTTCCTGAGCTTCCTTTGCTCAAGGCTGGCACCCTACTACCTGAGCCACAGAGCCACTTCCAGCTTTTTTTGTATATGTGGTTCTGAGGAATCAAACTCAGGGCTTCATGCATGATAGGCAAGCATTCTACCACTAAGCCACCTTCCCAGCCCCCAAAGTATAATTTTCGTATTATAATTAACTAGGAATAATAGTGGACTAGAATAAGTTTGTCAAAACTCACATCTTATTGAATTGAGAATTGAGTCTAGAGAATGATAGCCACTTAATTTTGGTAAATCTTAACACATAGGTATTTTGATATTTGTTGAACTAGAAAAAAAGTTACTTATTATATTGTATAGTTAGTATTTGAGCCCAGACTAATGATTGCAAATAAATGTGCAAAGTGTCTAGTACAGTGAAATTTAATTTTAATGTAACTTCAGAATAAGTTGTTGCATGGCATTCGCTGCTTATTCATTTTCTGTAATTACCTTAGTGATATTAAACAGCCTTATAGTTACTTTTATACAATTTCAGTCTTTCACAATGATCTGAGCCCTAAGAAACAATACAATTTTTTAAATTTGTGTATGGTGAGTTTATGTTATGGTACTTACTTGAGTTCTCTACTAAGAACTATATTAATTCTGTCCTTTAAAGGTCGATTCTTCTCAGGAATGGAGAACCAGGTTTTCCTACCCATAATCACCAGATTCTGTTTACCTATAAAGTTACACAGGGAGAATAAATGCATTTAGGGAATATACATATATTTTCATAGTTACACATGTAGGCAGATATGATTGTTATACTGACATCTAGTGGATAGTCTTTACAAAAACTAAAACAGCTCTACAATTATCACTATCTAAATACGGTAACCATTTTCTTTTTTATCTAACCCAGCGTTTGTTTTTAACTACTTGCAACCACTGCAGTGAAGAAAAAAGATTCAGGGTTGAAGTGCTCAAGTTGAATGTAATCTGTCATTTACTATACAAATCATATTAACACATTTTACTTTCCTTAGCTATACAACGAAGATAAAAATAATGTAATTCCTTAGAAAGACAAAAAGTCAAATTGCTTTGTGAAATGGCAACTGCTTTGTAAAACTGTTTAAAGATAAAAAAGAATACTTCTTACACTTAGCCATTGAGGGGATTAGAGATGTAGAAAAAGGTTACCTCCTAATAAGTACTATTACAGTTGCTGTTGGATGTAATCATACTATTTATGTTTATGCACTTTATAGATTTATTGTCGTACTTTAGAAAATAGGTCCTGCCTAGACACTGGTGGCTAATGCCTGTAATACTAGCTCATTATGAGGCTGAGATCTGAGGTCATGGTTCCAGGCCAGCCTGGGCAGGAAAGTCTGAGACTCTTAATCTTAAACCCTAAACATTGTGAAGCAGAGCTGTGGCTTAAGTGGTAAGAATGCCAGCCTTGAGCATAAAAGCTAAAGGATAGCGTACAGGCTCTGAGTTCCAGCCCTACAATGGACATATGAATGAATGAATGAACGAACACACACACACACACACACACACACACACACACACACACACACAGGCTCTGAGTTCCAGCCTTACAATGGACATATGAATTAATGAATGAACAAACACACACACACACACACACACACACACACACACACACAGAGGCTCTGAGTTCCAGCCCTACAATGGACATATGAATGAATGAACGAACACACACACGTACACACACCAGGAAGTTTTTAATGCTCTACTTATCTTAACCTTAAAAATACGTTCAGTTGTGCCTCTATACCTTTCAGTATTATACCTCACGAATAATGCTTCTTATATAAAATATTTATACATACGATTTCCATTTTTACTTAAATACTTAGAACTCTTAGATATTTTGGTCAAGGTAATATTAACAAGTACCAGACCACACTCAGGATTCTTGGGAGTGGTTTTATTAAAAAGGCTTCTTGTCATCCCATTTACACCACTGACCTGAGGGCCAATACAAAGGCATTTTGTCTGTCCTATTAACGTTGTGTAACACCTAGACTATTGGGGATTCATGGTTTATGCTGCCATTCCTCCTCACCACAAACGGATGTATTTCTTAGGTTTTCACCAGAATATCCTCTCATTCAGAGTCTTTTCTTTGGTTATAGTCCTCTCTCCAATGGCTCAATTTACCTAGTTCTTCCCCTAGGAATGAAATTATCCTGGATGTCAAACATGCAACTGAAAATTGTCTACAATTGCAACCCATTCCCCACTCATTTATTTTCCAAGTCACCTAGACTTGGCCACACTGGTAATCGGAGAGATGCTTGATGACTTCTTCCATTACCTTTCAGTTGTACATATCTAACACTCAATATCACATAACTGTTTTTTAAAAATATGTGCGTGTGTGTGTGCGCCTGTGCACACACACTGGGCTCTTAGTGTTCTTGTCATTTCACTCAAGGCTGGTGTTCTATTTGAGCCACGCCTCCAGTACTGGCTTTTTGCTGGTTAATTGAGTAAGAGTCTCATGGATTTATCTTCCTGGGCTGGCTTCAAATCCAACCCTCAGATCTCAACCTCCTGAGTGAGTGGCTAGTATTGCAGAGGTGAGCCACCTACATCCAGTAGTTTAAAAGTTTTTACATCCCACTGCCCATGCTCAGGCTTTACCACCTCTTTCAGCAACTATTCCAAAGCACTAACCTCTGCTGGCACTTTGCCCCCAAACGAACAGCACACGTAAAAAGAACGTTAAATCAGGAACTGTGTACGATCACTGACTGGTAGGAGGGGAGGTGGCAGCTTACCATGGCAAATCTCCTTTAAAGTTCACATTACCTTCTACTGTAGAGGTTGTGGTCATTCTTTGGAAATACTTGAATTCATTCCTGCAAGGCAGAAAAACAGCTTACTCAGAATTGTATCCCGCGGGCTCAGGCTGCAACGCCCAGGGTAAACTTTCTGCGTAGTAGACGGTGCTAGCCCAGGGCGGGGACTTTGCTCCAGGTCAGAGCGCTAGGGGGCAAAGGGCCAGAGCAGCCCCAGGATCCTCACGGAAATCAACAGCTTGGCCCGGCGCTGCGGTGGTGGAAGCCAGAACTACCCACGGCCCATCCGGCTTCCAAGTCCCACCGCAGCCCCGGCACGCAGGCCAGCCCAGCGCAGCCCCGCCGTGCCTGGGCCAGCGGCAGCTTGTGCCAGCTCCAGTTGCCCCACCTAGGCCCAGCAGGTACCTGAGCGGGGGCCAGGGGAGGTCCCCATTTTTGCCGATGCCCATGTTCTGGGACACGGCGACGATGCAGTTCAGCGAGCGCCCCATGCCGGCAGCAGCGTTCGACTCCGAGCTTTTAGGGCACACGGGGTGCACGCCGCGGGTTTGGCGCGAAATTGCGGGCGCCCCGCCCCCTCCGTCCTATTTGTGCAGGCGAGGCCCCGCCCCTTCCCGCCCCGCCGCGCGAACGGGTCGCAGCGTGCGCGCACGCGCAGGCGCCGGCTGGCTGCAAGTGGCGGGATCGCTCTCCGGGCCGGCCTTGCCTGCAGATTGCCATTCTCTGCCCCGCAATGTCTCGCCGGAAGCCTGCGTCGGACGCACTCCCGGCAGCCCGCTCGGCCCCTGGAAGACAAGCAGTTTTGAGTCGGTTCTTCCAATCTACTGGAAGCCTGAAATCCAACTCGTCACCCCCGGGTGCCTTCGGGAAGGGAGACCCTGGCTCCGCAGCGCCCCCAGGGTCCGCGGTGCAGCCGCCTTTGGTAGGTTCGGTCCAGGAGGGGGCGGAGCCTCGGGTAGGGGGCGGGGCGGTGTGGGAACGGGCGGGGTTTGCGGGTGGAGCTGGCGACGGAGGCTGCGCGAGAAACTGCAAGGTGATTGGGCCAGATGAGAAAAGGGGACGACGGGGTGTGTGGGGTGGGGGGCGGGGGAAGAAGCTTAGTGTGTGTGTTAAACCCTAGATGTAATCCTAAGGCTTTATTCTTCCCTTTGAGGTAATAGACTTGTGGCCAGGGTGACACCAGTTGTTACTGGGAGACCTTTTTCATGAGTTGATTATTGAAAGAGAACTTATTTATATATATTCCTGTTTGGGTCACTGGAAGAAAGCTGTCATTCTAAGTCTTAACTGTCCAGAGCGCAGCAGTCTTGTGCAGTATGTCCTATCACTGTGGGCAGAAGTCCTTCTGTGCAGTTTCCTAATGACTGGAAAGTGACGTTTAGTTTGGGCAGATAAACGTTCTATAGATGTGAATAGTTACTCTGGGAGTACTTTCTGTGGCTTGCTGTCCTTGAACAGAACAAAATAATTATTTTAAAGTGTTTTTTTTTTTTTAAACTAGAAATGTTACCACAGGCTAAGCTCAAGGGTTACTCCTTCTTGGGGCTCCCCGGTGTACCATTCCCCAACCTTGGGCGGGGGATGTGGCTCATTTGGTAGAGTGCCTGCCTTGCACGGGCAAGGCCCAAACTGATAGTGCGGAAGGGTACTGCAGCATCTTTCAGCTGCCTACCAGATTTTAATGTGAGTAACAACTAGGTTGCTTCAAAATTTTGCTTCTTGATATTTTTCTTCCTTATGGTATCACTCGGGTCTCTTGCCTTTTTTGAGGGTGACCTAATTTTTATGAATTCACCAAGACTTTATTTTGTATCCACCACCTGAGACTGTTTGGTGAAGGACTTAGTTTTTCTTCTGTTTTCTGCTGACAAATAGTTCATAATCTTATACCATCTTTAGTGGCAAACTGTTTACACAGGAAGTTAATTATAGTTAACATTTCAAGAGTTGTTCATGTATTACCTACTTCTCCCCTGTAGTTTTGCATATGTTAAATAAATATGCTTCTTAGGAGTATTTTACTTCACATCTAAGTAGGGTAATTTAAGTTTGTAATTTGAGATAGGTAAGGGTTGATTGAATAAAGAAACGAGACTGACTTTGTTTCCTGTAATTCTAGGAGGGTTTGAGATGCTAAGGAGGCTTATGACTTGCTAGTTTCTACATAGGCCTTCCATTTCTAGAGCGAATGTAGGTCATTCTGTTAGGAATAGAAGTCAAGATACTTATTGTTATTCACAAGTTAGGTTTAAATTACTTCATGTATGGTGAAGCATTCTCAGAATGGAGGTAACATACTCTTCTAACTTCTGTGTTGCAGTCCACAAAAACTGACAGAAGGAAAAAAAGACCACTGGTGAATGATGGACCTGTTAAAAAGAAAACAAAGAAAGCCCAGGAACAGGAAGGAGGAAGTGACTTGGTAACGCCTGGCAGTCCTGGTGAGTTCTGGGTGATGATTCTTCTCAGCCCAGTCATGGCACTGATATTTTTGTGTTCTCCAAGGGGAAAGAGGTTGGCTTTTGGATAATTGAGTCTTCCTCCTTTGTGGAGTGAGATCTATTTATGCTGGAGGTCCTGGTGGTGTGTGTATGAAGCTAGGGGTAGTTCTACAATTTAGCTTGTTATCCCAACTTTCTCCTTTACTTCCTTTAGCCATTTTTATCCTTCTTATAAAATGAAACAGTATTGTTATTGATGTCCAGCACTCTCTCTTCACCTTGCTGTTCTAAAACTCTGCACCCATGAAACAAGAACTCTGTAGTCTCTACCCACAGCTTCTGGCATATACCATTCTACCTTCCACTTCTGTCATTTGGCTACATTTATTCCTTTTTATTTCAAGGCAGTATTTCACCTTTTCTTAGATCTTTAATATGCAAGTTATTTTTTTATTTATACCTCAGATCCCTAGGAGAAGGAAACTTTTGTACTTAGAAGTAAATATAGCCATTGGAAAAGGAATTTAAGTATATATTTTGAAAACTTAGGGATTGATAATAAATGAAGTAGAATATACATTGGAAACGATCTTAAAAAATATATTTGGAATAAGAGCAATCATGAAAGGAAGGCAAAGTATGTATCAGAAAGCTTATAAATTTAGAAGGAAGATTTCCTTTTTTTTTTGTTGGTCGTGGGGCTTGAACTCTGAGCCTGGGCGCTGTCCCTCAGCTCTTCAGCTCAAGGCTAGTGCTCTACCACTTGAGCCACAGCGCCACTTCCTAGAAGGAAGGTTTCTGCCAAAGAGTCTTAGCAATTAGCATATGTGACACGCTAACGTTTTTGTTTTAGCTATAGAAGAACAGTTTTCCTATTTTTCTTTCTTCTGGGCAGAAGAGTTTTTTCTTTATTATTGAGTTTTGCACATTGATTTTTCTGCACTTGAGCTTAGTTTTTAAAAATATTTAATTTTTTTATCCTAGCTGGAGTTGCTTGAAAAGTTCTTAGATCTGTGGGATTATTGTTCTTAACAAATTTAAAAAGATTTGTTTTTTTCTTTGCCAGTATTCTCTCAAAAGTTTTTCTGCCTTCTCCTCTCCATTTTTAGTATTTCTTACTTGGATGGGTATTAAACCACTTATATGATCTGTCATGTTATTGAGGCTCTTTTCTTTTGTTTGCCAGTCTTATTTCTCATCGCCCTTCATTTTTTTTTTATAGAATAATTATTTTGTTGCCATTTTGCTGGCTTTCTTTCTTCCTTTTATTATAAACGTATTTTTTTTTTTATTGTGAAAATACCGTACGGAGGGGTTACAATTACATGGGCAAGATAATGAGTACATTTCTTATCAAGCATTGTAGCTTCCTCCTTTGTTTCCCCTTCCCATCCTCTGCTCCCCTCCCCCCCCAACAAAGTTGTAAAGTTTGTTTTTCGACATAACAACTTGTACATCTCATTGTTGCAATGGGTCCTCCTGTATCCCTATTTTAACCATTTGTTTTTTCCCTTCTCCTCCACATATACCAACATCAAATACAGTGAAAGCAGGGGTTATACCATGGGGGAGGGACGTACAAAGCAACAAAGACATAATCTTATAAATATGTTAGAAACAATCGCATGAAAGATCTCTCTCTCTTTATTTATTTATTTATTTTTGTCAGTCATGGGCTTGAGCTCTAGGCCTGGGAGCTGTCCCTGGGCAATTCAGCTCAAGGCTCATGCTCTACCACTTGAGCCATAGCGCCACTCGTAGTTTTCTGTTTTTTTTTTTTTTTTATTGTGATTAAGTGATTACATAATTTCCCAAATTTTGCAGTATTGTGGCGCCCTTCATTTTTGAGGTATTCTACTGTCATATTTTCAAGTTCAGTGATTTTCTGTAGCATCTAAGTCTGTTAAAAATCTTATTCATTGAGACATTATGGATATTCTTGCTAGAGTTCCATTTCTGTTCTTTTTGACCTTTTCTTAATTTTTTTGTTAGCATACGATTAGCTATATAGAGGGAGATTTCACTGTGACATTTCCATGCATATATACAGTATATTCGAATCACTCTCCACTCCTCTCTCATGGTCCCTTCCCATCCCCTCCATCCAACACCATCCCAGCAGGGAAGGTAAATTTGTTCCGAATCAATTGTTCACACTTAGGAAAATACCACATTTAAACCCCCTCATACAATAAATGTATACGGATTCTAAAATAAAATTAAATTTAGAATCTAAAGTATTAAAAACAAAGGTGAAGAGAGGTAAAGTATTGAGATTGTTGCCTGGTGCATACTGACAGTTGAATAATAAATTCTCAAGCCTCATCACTTCTGCAACTGCATTTTGTGTTCTGAATGTTATCAGTGTCACAGGGGAAATACTCCATTTTGGTGTGCTGCTGCTCACAAGCATTCCTTTCTAGCACAAGAAAGGGTCAGATTTATGGATGGACTAACCTACCAGAGTAAAGGCTACTTTAGACCTCTCTACCAAGGTTTAGAAACAATCCTTTAAACAACCAAACATTATAAATAAGTATTTATTTAATGGTCTGGAGGTGGTGACTCATCCTGTATCCCAGCTACTTGGCAGGGGGAGAAATTGGGAGGATGGTAGTTGGAGGCTAGTCCAGACCAATCCCCCGTACCCCCCCCCACCCCCCCCAAAAATCTCCATTTCAACAAAAAAGCTGAAGTGGTGGTATGCTTTATCCCAACTGTGGGAAGACAAAGGTAGGAGGATCATGGTTTGATGTCAGTCCTTGTAAAAAATGAAAAGCCCTACCTGAAAAATAACCTGTAGCAAAAAGTGCTGGGGACATGGCTCAAGTGAGAGTGCACCTGCCTAGCAAGTGTAAATTCCTGAGTTCAAAACCTGTACTAATGGTAAAAACAAAGCAAGCTTAACTGCCTGACCGGACCAAGTCTGATAATCTTTAAAGAATTACAGAATCCTGCATGAGACAGTACAGAGTTCAAACTATCAATTTGTAGCAGTAAAGTCACTCAAGGGGTGTGGGAATCTTTTTGTATCCACAGGTGGGAAATACACACACTTACTGTATTGCTTTTTTTTTTCTTTTTCTCTTTTTTTCTGTATTGCCTTTTTTTTTTTTTAATGTGGTCATTTGTCTCTCTTTTTTTTTAATTGTGAAAGTACTGTACAGAGGGGTTACAATTACATGGGCAAGATAATGAGTACATTTCTTATCAAGCATTGTAGCCTCCTTCTTTGTTTTCCCTTCCAATCATCCCCCCACCCCTCAACCCAATCCTTCCCCCCACCATTACTTTTAAAGACTAATTCAATATACATTTCAAAAAGTAGAAAGTGATACTAAACAAAATTAACATGCTACATTGTTGTTTGAAAAAAAGATTTTATATATCTTTTTCTAGCTAGAAGACTCACAGGAAAATTGATATGTTGTATATCTGAAAAGAGTTTTCCATCTAAACCTTGAAAAGTTTTAACTTTTAGAAATGATCACAGCGCAACTTTTGTCCTCAGGGTTGTTTTTATTTTTTGGCAGTACTGAGGTTTGAACTGAGGATTTTGCATTTCTTGGCATTCTGCCACTAAGCTACACCTCCAGTTGTTTGTTTTGTTGGTTGTTTTTGAGACAGGGCTTTACTTTCTGCCTAGATATGCATCTGAGCCTGGATCTACTTGCTTTAGTCTTCCTGTCATTGCTGAAACTGCTTAGTACCAGTCCTATTTATTTTAGAAACTCTATTTCCAGAGATTTTGGTTCACTAATTCCTGAAAGTATTGAGCATTTTATATGTAAATAGTATGAGTTCTTGATTTGCTTAATTTCTGATTTAGGTTTTTGCTTCCATTGGGTGTGCCAAATTTGTGATTGCTTATCATTATCCTTTCTAACTTCAGATATTTCATTTGCAGTTGTCACCTCTCTAGTTTCCTGTCTGCCTTTAATATATAAAACCAAATAAAAAAGGCAGATGCAAAATTCTACTGTAGTTTTTAATGGGTTTCAGAAGCTAATGAGCCCAAGGTTATATATTTCTTTGCTTTATTACACTGTAACATTGTAGTAAACATTTTTTTCTTAGCTTTTTGAGACAGGATCTAACAATATAGATCAAGCTGACCTTGAACTCAGCGGGTTCCTGCCTCAGCTTCCAGAACGATGGGATTATAGTGTAGGTGTGATATACTGTACCTGTCTAAATTCATTGTTTTAATAGGATTTCTCTTTTTAACAAATTCTTGCTGGTTATATAAATCAACCTAATGGGACCAAAATACTATTAGTATTTTTTATTTTCAGTAGTTTCTGAAGAACCAAAGAGACATCTGAGGACCAGGAGCCTTTTAAAGTCACTGGAAAAACTGAAAGAGTTCAGCTGTGATTCTGCCCTCCCTCACATTAGAGTCCAGACAGAGCCATGCAGGGAGAGATTTGCAGTTCTGCCAAAGTGTACTGATTTTGAGGACATCAGTCTTCAGCGTGCAAAGACTGCAATTTCTACTGAAGATTCCAAGTCACAAAGTAATCAAAAGGTATGTCACTGAAGCCAGGAGTTGGTGGCTCATGCCTATAAGGAGGCAAGGAGGCTGAGATCTGGTTGGAAGCCAGTCTGTGTGAAAGTCTATGAGAATCTTTATTTTCCTTTAACCACCAAAAAGCCAGAAGTGGAGATGTGGCTCAAGTGGTAGAGCACCAGCCTTGAGCAGAAAAGCTGATAGACAGAACCCAGGCCCTCAGTTCAAGCCCTAAGGACAAGCATTACCTTCGCCCCCACCCAAAAAAAAAAAATGTATATAACTACACCCAGAATAGGAGGTTCTTAAGTATCATTCGAATCAAAGGAGGGAGCTTTTCTTTCTTAGTTTCTTTCTTTTTTTTTAATTCTTAGAGATTCTAATTTAGTATATATTTGGTAGGGATGAATTGGTTTATAGTCAAACAAAAGGTAACAAGACCCCTAAATGTTTTTGACATGTTACTTGGGTTAGGAATCACTGGCTTGGGGGATATTTTTATAAAATTGATACTTATGTATGTACAAGTTTCCCATAGTCCTAATTTTAAAGAGTTTGCACGGGAAGGCATCGTGGGCCATACAGGTGGAGGTTCTGAGGTGTTTCAGTAGAAATCTTGGCAAATATTAAGCAAAATCATGGGTAAAACAAATGAATATAGACTTGGAACTATAAAATAGGAAGTGAAATTTCGAGATGTTGACATGCTTACTGCAAGTGCTTTTGTTCTCTGTTTGTGCCCATTGATCTTTTATGCATTACACATGAAATAATAAGACATGTTGATAAATGTAATAAAGTAAACTTAAAGAAGAAATATATAAAAGTATATGCAACACTAAAAGCATATAAGACATTAAAATATCTAGAATTTGGAAATTTATTCAAATTGTGGGGCTTATAATTAAAACAGAAACTTTTACTGTGAAAGCAAAATTAAACCTGTAGAATAACTTGTCTGAATGTGCTTCTAGAAAACTTTCACATGGGTTTATCAGGTGTTAGCTTTTTGCCAATTTGCATTTTTTTCTCTTTGAGAATCTACTATTGCAGCTATTACTTTTTAAATTTAAGTCTTTTGGTTGCCAGGACAGTCAATTTGGACCATTACAAGGGAGCCATGAAAACATCTCAAAAGCTTCATTTAACAAACGATCTAAAAGCATCTATACGCCATTAGAACTGCAGTATATAGAGATGAAACAGCAGTATAAAGATGCAATTCTGTGTGTGGAATGTGGATATAAGTACAGGTTCTTTGGGGAAGATGCAGAGGTAAGTATTTTTCCAACCCTAGTTCATATTTATCTTGTCCAACCATCAATATTTTTCAACATTTCTGTTTCATTTTCTGAAAGCAAAAAAGTGAGTTTGATCAGTCATCCTTTAAAATACTGTCACTTAGTGTAAAAAACAAAAAATGGGCATAAATAGGTTTGGTAGGAGCTAGACTCGGGAGAGAAATGACGGTGGTGGTGTTGGGCTGTTCATGCTAATGATGCTAGGCCAGTATTTTTAATCTATCACAAGTTTGTGGGATGTATTAATGAATGAATGAAGCATGTTCATGCCAATATGCTTTCTGGTGAAAATTCAGACAAGAAATATGAGATATATGGATGTTCCTCATTTTACCTTTGATTTATGGATTTTCATAGCCAGGAAAAGTTACCTCTTAATGGATGAGCCCATTAACTTGACTAGCTATTAACAGGTATTTGAAATTTCATACATTCATATTGTGCAAGACAGCAATCTTGCTATCTTGTGTAAGTTGGTCTGTATTGTATTTTGAAGTGTTTGATGTAGGCTTCAGTCAAGAGGATTAAAAGGGAATTTGCACGTGTAATGGGCAAGCTTTGGGAAAATACTGATTGCATAGTTCCAAGCCTGATCAGAAAGAAGTATGGTAGCATATATATTGCCTCATAGATGGGTAATGAAGACTTAACCAACTTTTTCTCAGTTTTCTGAATCCTGTAATGGCAGGACAGTGGTGTTCTCCAAGGAGTGTGCTGTGTTTCATGTTATGACTGACTAAAATAGCATCAGTCATGTTTTCTGAGGAGAGGATCAGATACGTAGTTGGCATCATCTGGGAAATGGGGAGGTTAAATGGTAAATTTAAGTCTGACTATAGTAAAGACAGATGTTTCCTTACCCTTCAGGGATGGACTTACTATAGTCCAGATGGAAAGTGGGGGTTGGGAAATAAGATTGTTAGAGTGAGAGTCTGTGCCTCTGGAGGGTAGTACTGATGCTATGGTGTTTTCTAAAAGAAAGCTAGGAATCAGATGCAGCTTCCTGCTTCTTTATTTCTGTCAACCATACATCATTAGTTAGCTAATAAGACCAAGGGGTTCTCTTTTTCTCATGATTTCTGAATTTCCTCTCCAAGTGAACTCATCATTTGTGTGTGTGCTGTAGTATCTTTTGATTGTCAGTTATTTGCATGACAAGTTCTTATTCTATTACATCTTCATGTTGTTCAAATTGAATAGTCCTTATGAAGGGAAAGCTCAACACTAAAGTTTTGGTACATCTGAGTACATAGAAGAAGACTTGGCATGTTTTTCTGAGTTGTTCAGAGATATCAATGTTGGTTTTGAAGTCAATCTGTTGGACTTGCCAAAAACAAATGAAGCCATCAGTGTCTATGCAGGGAATGTCTTTATAACTTTTATAGTACAGCAGCAAGTATGTTAATTCTATGTGTATACCTTTGATGATTTTTTAGCAAAAAACCCAGACCACTTAACAAGGATTCTGGAAGTGGAAAGTTATTGATATTTTTAATTTGTTTTAGATTGCTGCCCGGGAGCTGAATATTTATTGTCATTTAGATCACAATTTTATGACAGCGAGTATACCTACCCACAGACTGTTTGTTCATGTTCGCCGCCTTGTGGCCAAAGGATACAAGGTTTGTTTTGGCTTTAACTTGTGGGGCATGGGAATTAGGATTTCTTCTAGAGGGAGAACATGTCTGGTAAGGTGGTAGGCAGAGGTTACTTGGTTTTAGAATTTGGCAATTTGAGAAATAAAAGTGTGTCCTAATTATTAGCATTATACCTTGATGATTGTTTAGTATTTGTAGTAGAATTTTATTTTTTCTTTTTGAAACAGGTCTTGTTATGTAATTGAAGCTTTCCTCACAACTTATTCTGTACTTCAGGCTGGCCTGATTACTTGAAATCCTTCTCCCTCAGCATCCTGAGTGCTGGGATTATAGATATATGCCACCAACCTGGTCCTAGAATTTTTAAACTCAGAATCAGAGTGTTTCTTAGTGATCTGTTCACATGTGTTAGCTTCTTGTCATTTTTTTTTTCCGTTTCTTTAATCAGTCTTGTGGCTTGAACTCAGGACCTGGGCACTGTTTCCGAGTTTTTTTGATCATCAAGGCTTCCACTTGAATCACAGCTCTACTTCTGGCTTTTTGATATTTAATTGGAGCTAATGGACTATCCTGCCTGTGTTGGCGTCAGACCACAATCCTTAGATCTCAGCCTTCTGAGTAGCCAGGATTATAGATGTGAGCTACTGGGTGCCCAACTTGTGACTTTTTTTTTTACTTAAATATTTCACCTGGACCCTGTGGACAAATATTTGCCTTAAATGTTTCTAAATTATTATTATTATTTTTTTTATTGTAAAGATACTATACAGAGGGTTACAGTTACATGAGTGAGGTAATGAGTACACTTCCTCTTGAACATTGTTACCCCCTCCATTGTTTTCCCCCTACCATCCCTAAATTATTTTTTAAACATTATAAAGTAAAATTTTAAGTGGCTTTCATCATATTTGCTATCAAATATATCTTATTTTGTTGAAGGTGGGAGTTGTGAAGCAAACCGAAACGGCAGCATTGAAGGCTGTTGGAGACAACAAAAGTTCACTCTTTGCCCGGAAATTGACTGCTCTTTATACAAAATCTACACTCATTGGAGAAGATATCCTTTTAGAATCTGATTTTCTTTCGCTTACATATTCCAAGAGCTCTGTTTTTTTTTTAAAAAACATTTATTATTATTATTATCTTTAAATACTTGTATAAAAAAGTTCCCATTCTACAAACAGTATATGAATACAAGGTGTCTGACAACATTGTCACCCATCGCTCCTAACCCATCTACTTTTCTTTTTTTTTAAAATTGAGATTAGGTGATTACATAAATTTCACAGTTTTGTGGTATAGTGATATTTAGTTAAAGTCACAAACACATTTTAACCTTCACAAGGCAAATTGTCATTATTAGGGTCTATAAAGTTTGTGAATTCTATGAGCTTTGAAAATACAGTTATTTCTTCTATATCAGGTGAGTTTACTTTTCTTTCCTTTTGCTTAGTGTAGGCTATTCCCTCTTTCCCTCTCATTTCTCCCTTCCCATCACTGTCTTTGGGTTGCTTAGTGCTTTTTCTTCTATGTCCAGTGCAGCTGATGGGCCCCTTTATTATATGTTGTTTGCATTTCCTTTACAGCCAGGGATGATGAACATTTTCTCATGTGTTTCTTTACCATTTTTCTTTTCTTTTCTTTCTTTTTTTTTTTTTTTGGTCGATCATGGGTCTTGAATTCTGGGGTGGGTGCTGTCCCTCGGCTCTTCAACTCAAGGCGAGGGCTCTACCACTTGAGCCACAGCGCCACTTCCTTCTTTACTATTTTTATCTCTTCTGAGAAATATCTCTTTTGCTCCCTTGCCCATTTAATGATTGCTTTGTTAGATTTGGGAGGGATTCGTTTCTTGAGTTCCCTGTATATAATGGATAGTAGACCCTTGTCTGATATATTGCTGGTAAATGTTTTTTCCCAATTAGTTGGCTTTCTTTCTAGTTTGGTTGCTATTTCTTTATCTGTGCAGAAACCTTTTATTTTAGGGTAGTCCCATTTATCGAGTCCCAAGGGCTCTGTTTTAAGATGATAGATTAAAAAAAAAATATTGTTCTTTCAGTGGGAAAATTTTGAGGTGGTAATGGAATGGCAGCTTCAGTCCATGGTTAGTGATTAGCCCCTTTCTTCTACTGAACATCTACAAGGATTGAAGATGGCTGGAAATACTGATTTTTAAATGTCATAGTAAAAGGAGAGCTCATCATATCCCAAGAGCAAGGAAGAGCGAGCCTGGTAAAAGGTGATGGCAGACTAGAGCTGTTTGAAATATCTTCCCTGGTATCATTGTGGGTCATGGTTACCTGCTTAAGGCCTATAAGCTCCTCAGAATCTTCCTAAAATGGGAACTAGAAAATAGCTTTTACTTCATTGAAAAGAAAACTGCAAAATTAGGAGTCTGTTAAATGCTTATAAGTTAGAATTTTTTTTTGTTAGCTTTATAAATAAATTTTGCTACTTGGGAAAAAAGATTGTGGGTACAGCTTTCTTATCTTGAAGAAACCCTAGAGTTCTTACTCAATGGCTGCCTTCAGATTTATCACCATTCATAAATTCATTGTGTTACAAATATAATTTAATGGTTAACCATTATCAATTTTATTAGTTTTTTTTCTTTTCCTTTTGAGGTAGGGTTTCTGTGTAGCCCAGATTGGCTTTGAACTTGGAATTCTCCTGCTCAGCTTCCTGAGTATCTGGGATTCCAGGTGTGTACCTCCACACCCAGTTTTTAAATCTAGTTGTATATAAAATAAAAGGAGAATGCATTTAAAATAACATAATGAAACTCTTTTTATAGCTAATAGGTTGAGTTTCATTATGCTATTTTATTTATTTTATTTTATTTATTTATTTATTTTATTTTATTCATGGAGCTTGAACTGTGGGCCTGGGCACTGTCCCTCAGCTCTTCAGCTCAAGGCTAGCACTCTCAATTGAGCCACAGCACCACTTCCGGTTTTCTGTTGGTTTATTGGAGATCAGAGTTTCATGGCTTTTCCTGGCCGGGATGGCTTTGAACCGAGATCCTCAGATCTCAGCCTCCTGAGTAGGTAGGATTACAGGCATGAGCCACAAGTGCCTGGCTCATTATGCTATTTTAACTGCATCAGCCTTAAAAGATACCCTGTGAAAGAAAGTTATTTCTTATGGCTTATTGCAAATTAGCTGACTAAGAAACTTGGTTAGCTTCTATTCAGATTCTAAGGATGTTTTCTATTAAGTGCCTAGATAGTACAGTGGCTCAAGCCTTTAATCCCAGCTGCTTGGGAGGCTCAGTTGGTGTTTGAGATTTGAGGTTAGCCTGGGCAAAAAAATCAAAGAGTGAGTTTTTGGGACTTCATCTTGATTAATGACTGAGTGGATTAGTGGGCTTCTTTCATCCCAGCTCTAGGACAAAGTCAATGGCTCGGGTGGTAGTATGTTTCTCTCATCCCTGTGATTCAGGGATGAACAAAGTGGGAAGATTTCAGTGCAAGTAGACCCAGACATAAAGTGAGCTTAAAATAATTAAAAAAAATTTAATGTAAGAAGAGACTAGCAGAGAAGCTCAAGTAGGAGAGTGCCTACCTAGCAAGCCCCTGAGTTCAATTCCCAGTAAACCTCCCACCCCGCCTCCCCAAAAAAAACAAAGAGAAAAGTAAACCTAAATAGCTATCACTCAGCGCACACTCAAACTACTAATAGTCCTATATTGATTTTACCTATGTAAGTACCTGGCAAACTTGATTTTTCTTTTGCCTGAGCTTGAGTCTCTTATTTGAAGTCTATCCCTTTCCTTGCTTACCTTTTGCTTCCATTTCTGATATCCAAGTTCTTAATGCCAAGCTGATTCTTTATGCCAGAGTGAGCTGTTATTCCTGAGAATTTGAGTAATGGACTTGTTTCATACATGTGTGCACATACATATGTCTGCATTTTACTTTTTTTTTTTTTTTTGGTTGGTCATGAGTCTTGAACTCTGGGCCTGGGCACTATTCCTCAGCAATTCAGCTTAAGGGGAGTACTCTACCACTTGAGTCACAGTGCTACTTCCTGTTTTCTGGTGGTTAATTGGAGATAAGAGTCTCATGGACTATGGACTTTCCTGCCTGGGCTGGCTTTGAACCAGGATCCTCAGATCTCAGCCTCCTGAGTAGCTAGGATTATAGGCATGAGCCACCGATGCCTGCCTGCATCTTACTTTTTATCATGTCTTTAATTCCCAATTTTTTGCTCTTTTGTTGCTTTAGGCACTTTAATGAATGAAATTAATTTGCAGTATTTGAGTGTGAATTAATTGCTTTGGCTTATATATATAATATACAAACACTACATTTTATAATACATAATGTATTTTGTAATATATAATACATATAAATATAATATGTAATATTATATATATATATATATATATATATATATGTTAACACCACATTTAAAAGTTGGGTTTATTCCTAGGATACAAGAATGATTCAATATACTATGACTGCAAATAGAATCTAGCAAATAAATAGATTCAAGGACAAAAATCCCACGATCATTTCAGTAGGTACAACAGCCAACATGCTTTCATGATAAATGCCTTAAAGAAATGGAATGGGAGGAACATACCTCAGAATAATAAAGGTTAAAATTTAGCATGTGTTTTTTTTTAACTTGTACTACATGTGAATCCTCTGGTCAAGCTAGATGACACTGTGAATGTTGATGAGATAATGACCGACACTTCCACTAATTATCTTCTGTGCATCTATGAAGATAAGGAGAATATTAAGGACAAAAAAAAGGGGAATGTCATTTTTGGCATTGTGGTAAGTACTTTGTAAGTGAGGAATGAATATGTTAAAGGTATTAGTAAACTTGATAAAAATGAGTCACTTTGGAAAAGTTTCATGAGTATGTGTGCATTAGGTAGAATCATATAAAATTGCTTGGGTTTGATATAAAAGAGTCTCCTCATAGGTTAATCTGATGATATATCGTGTGTGTGTGTGTGTGTGTGTGTGTGTGTGTGTGTGTGTGTGTGTGCATGTGTGTGTGTGTGTGTGTGTGTGTGTGCATGTGTGTGTGTGTGTGTGTGTGTGTGTGTGTGTGTGTGTGTGTGCGCGCGTGCCCTGGGGCTTGAACTGCCTGGGAATTATTGTTCCTTAGCTTCTGTTGCTCAAGGCTAGTGTTCTGCAGTGGAAGCACAGCTCCACCTTCTTTTTTGGTAGGTTATTGTAGGTAAGGATCTCATGGACTTTCCTGGCCAGGCTGGCTTCGGACTGAAGTCCTCAGATCTCAGCTTCTGAGTAGTTAGGACTATAGGCATGAGCCACTGGCACCTGACGATATGTATGTTTATGTGTATGTGTATGTGTTTTAAATTATTGTAACTATTTGATGTTCTCACAAATATAAAACAGGATAGCTACATATTTCTTAATATACTGAAAATGTGTTTCTCTTTATGTGCTTTACCAAAAAAAGTAACAGAAATGTGTATGAGATATCTAATGAGGTGTGCTTTATAGGAATTGTTCTAGGAAACTTTTTCTCATTATAATATTACCTGTTAAATCACTAGTTACAGTTTTTTCATATGGCTTCTTGGAGCTATAGAAGATCCAGATAATTTCAATCCATGTTCTCTAGAATTTTAAGAGTTGAAGGGAGATGTATTAAAACACAGCTATGTAGACAGTGTATAGGTAGAATAATAAAACACTACTTACCGCATGGATAGCAAAGGTTTTATAGATACCTTCTATGGGATAGAAATTAAACATGGAAGATCATGGGACTATTCTGTCCATAGATTCGGAGGAAGGGATACTTAAGGGATAATGATAATTGGCTAAAACAGACTGTTGTGTTCTTTATCACTCAGAGACCTTAACTAAGTAGTTTCTTTCTTTCTTTCTTTCTTTTTTTTGTTATTGTTGTGCTTGTACTGGGACTTAGATGAGCCTTCCACTCTCCCTTAGCTTTCTTGTTCAAGGCTAGAAACTTGAACTGTACCTCCATTTGTGGCTTTTTGCTTGGTAATTGGAGATAATCTTTCAGATTTGTCTGCTGGCTTTGAACTATGATCCTCAGATCTCAGCCTCCAGAGTAGCTAGGATTATAGGCGTGAGCCACTGGTGCCCAGCTTCTTCATTCTTCATTCTCTGCCATCCCTCTCATCCCTACTCACCCCCAGTTTTCCTGGTTTCATAGGATATGCATCGAATGTTATGACTGCATTCTCCCACCCCTGGCTTTTTATAATTTTACTTTTTACATATTAGAGATATAATTAAGTGTGCTTACTATTATTTTGGTGGTCAGGTGGTTAGGACTGTGTTCCTTTGTGATCATAATTGCTATTTGTGCAGTGCCTTATTTATGGGATATTCACCTTTATTCTTTTGACTTGATCCTTACAACAGCCCGGTTAGAAAGTAGCTGCTTTTTTTTCTCTTTGTGGAAGAAGAAACTGAGGCCCATTAGGGTGACATGTCATAGTTGTTCCACCAGGCGTATTAGTTAGCTTCAGGACTATACTTAGGTATCTCTGGAAAATTCCACAGTGTATTTTATACCTGACTCATAAGAGTATTGAAAAGCAGACAGGTCTTCAAACACTTTAGAAAATGTAGTATGGACTAGTGAGCAGATTGGCTTTACAAATCTTTCCAGCTGTCATTCAAAAAATGTCTGTTTTCTGTGATGTTATGTTTGTATCTGTTTTCAGGGAGTACAGCCTGCTACAGGTGAGATTGTGTTTGATAGCTTCCAGGACTCCGCTTCGCGATCAGAGCTGGAGACTCGCATATCCAGCCTGCAGCCTGTGGAGCTGCTGCTTCCGTCAGACTTGTCAGAGCAGACAGAGACACTCATCCACCGAGCCACTGCTGTTAGGTAAGCTGGGGAAGTGTGATGATTCCCAAACTAGATGAATTCCCAAACTGATACCTATGAAAGTTGTTAAAATAGTTTTTTATTTATGAAACTTATATGTCAACAGTGGGAATTAAAATGACCCACGTTGTCACTTTAATGTAGTGTTTATAAAAGCTGATTTTTTATTTTGTTTTTAAAAAATTAACATTTCATTATTATTATGATTATAAAGGTGATGTACACAGGGATTACAATTATATGAGTCGGGTTAGGAGTATATTTCCTTTTGAATAGTGTCTTCTGTTCCTCACTCTCTCCCACTCCCTCCCTCCTATCTCTATCCACGAGTTGTATGGTTCACTTTCATCAATGTCTAGTGAGCTTCCCTGCTGCACTTTTTTACCCATTTTCCCTTGAGTTCTGTGCCCTCCCCCCACTCTCCAGAAGATATGCATGTGAAAACACCGTACATAGAGAAAAAGAAGACAGAATCATCAAAAAATTAAAAAAAAAAAAAAAGAGAGATCTTGTTTCCATATCTTGGGGTTTGTTTTGACGTGTGTATTATTTTATATAAATATGAAGAGGCGCCTAGACATTGAGCCATTGTGTTTCTCTGTGAAGAGTGTCTATCCTCTTTTGGTCTCATTGGATCTAGAATCCTGTAAAATTTATCATAACCCAGTGTATTTTAGATCTAATTTACACATATCAGAGAACTTGAGCCATTTATCTCTGAGCTTGGCTTACCCACTTCACATGATTTGTTCTACTTCCATCCATTTCCCTGCAAAGGACATTATTTTATTCTTTCTAATGGCTGTTTAAAATTCCATTTTGTATAGGTACCACATTTTTTGGATTCACTTATATATTGTGTGGTATCTGGGCTGTTTCTTGGTCTTGGCTTTTGTAAGTAGTGTGTGAATGAACATGGATGTGCAGGTGTCTTTATCATATCCTGTATCATATCGTGATGTTCAGGGTAGATGCCCAGGAATGGTATGGTTCAATCTATGTTTAGTTTTTTGAGGAACCTCCAGACAGCTGTTTAGAATGGTTGTACTAGTTTACATTCCCACCATCTGTGCATTTCCCCCGCATCCCCACCAACATGTGTTGTTGAAATTCATACTGTTGGTCAATCTAACTGGGGTGTGATGGAATCCCAGAGTTGTTTTGATTTGCATTTCCATGGATGATGAGCATTTCCTTATGTGTTTCTTTGCCATTCTTTCTTCTTCTTCTGAGAAGTCTGTCCTTAGCTCTCTTGCCCATTTAATGATTGGTTTATTAGATTGGGAGGGGTTAGTTTCTTGAGCTTCTTGTATATAGTGGATATTAGGCCTTTGTCTGCTGGTAAAGATCTCTCCTAGTTTGTTGAATGTCTTTCTAGTTTTGTCCTTAGCTGTACAGAAACTTCTTATTTTGATGTAATCCCACTTGTCAAGTCTCTCCTATCTGTGGTGCCCCTGGGACTCTATTTAAAGGAGTTTATACCTATACCTACAAGTTCTAATGTTTCTCCTACTCTCTCTTGCAGTAGTTTCAAAGTTTCAGGTCTGACGTTGAGGTCTTTGATCCACTTTGAATTGATGTTAGTGCATGGTGACAAACACGGATCCACTTTTAGTTTCCTGCATGTGGATGCCTAGTTTTCCCAACACAACTATCGAAGAGGCTATTTTTTCCCCCACTATATGTCTTTGGCTCCCTTATCAAATATCAGATAACTATAAGTATATAGTTTTATTTCTGTGTCTAGATACTGATCTTTAAAGGACCTTAAGATATTATTTAGTCATATTATTCACAATTTACCTAAGTTTTTTGGAAATATTTATTGTTTCTTTCTTAGAAGGTTTATGTAATTTGAAAATACTTCATGCTATAAATCTTCCTTCAGGCCTGTGTCCAGTAGTTTTATTTACTAGGTTTATGTCATACTACTTACTTATGAAGTAGTGTGCTGGGTACTGGCCTATAGAGGAAGAAGTTGTAGTTATGAATTTGGGTTTTCAATCCAGTAGGATAAGTAAAGGTGCATATACCTGACTGGATTCACATATTCATTGTCCAGTGTGAGTGTGCACTGTTGGGAAGGGGCTAGTCTTTTACCTGGAGTGAGACTCACATAGTAGACTAGAGCTTGAGTGAAGAACACTGTGTCGAGTAAGGATTTGGGACTTTAGATCAGGTAGGGAATCCTATAAGAATTTTTATTTAGTTTGAAACATCACTTAGAAATTTAGACTAAATTATTAAGTGAAATTCCACATGTTTTTACTTAGACCTAAAAGTGTTTATTTGCATTTAAATTTAAATTCTGAGTACCTTTTGTAACTTGTCTTTCTGATGATAATGCTAATATATGTTCATTTAGGAGAGGTTAAGAGTTATAAAAATAAAGATAAAATAAATCCAATTCTGTAACCTAGAGATAGCTATATTTTACATAGTATTTCTTTATTCATTTGTCACTTTTTTCATTTTTAAACTTGGATTCATGTTGCAAAATCACTTGAATACTTTTTTTTTGGCTTAAAAATTTCATACACACACATACTATTTGTTGCTTAAAGAGGCTGTGTTTTCTTTAACATATATTTTGAGCCTCTTTGTGAAGAATCCTACACCTGTAGCTATATGTGTATTTCTGTGTTCTTGATTTTGATACATTGGTACATGTGTTTATGTTTGTGCCAATTCCATACTGATTATGTTACTATGGCTCTATAGTATAATTTGAAATCTGAAATTGTGATACCTCCAGAATACTCTTTTTGTTCAGGATTGCTTTGGCTCTTTGGAGTCTTTGTGCATCCATATGAATTTTAGCAATTTTTTTTCTTTCTGTGAATGGTATCATTTGACTTTTGATAGAAATTACATTGAATTTGTATATTGCTTTTGGTAATCACTTTTACTATTAATTTCATGAGTCTATGACCATGTGCGGTCTTTTCATCTTCTGTGTTAGCAGTTTCTTTCTTTAGTGTTTCAGTTATTATTGTAGAGTTCTTTAATCTCCTTGGTGAAAGCACATTTTTTTCTCTCTCTCTCTCTCAATTTATCTATTGTGGATGGGATTGTTTATAATTTCTTTGGTCAACATCTTCACTATTTGTATATAGAAAAGCTACCAATTGTTGTATGCTGACTTTGTATCCTACAGCTTTGTTGAGGGAATTTATCAGATCTGAGTTTTTGGTTTAGTCTTGCCTTTTTTTTTTTGGTCTGGTTGTGGGGCCTGAACTCTGTCCCTCAGCTCTTCAGCTCAAGGCTAGCACTCTACCACTTGAGCCACAGTGCCACTTCCGGGTTTTTTTTTTCTTCTGCTTATGTGGTACTGAGGAATCGAACCCAGGGCCTCATGCATGCAAGGCAAACGCTCTACCACTGAGCCACCTTCCCAGCCCTTTTTGGTTTAGTCTTTAGGGTATTTTAGGTATAGGTATATCATCTATATATAGAGATAATGTCTTTGTAAGTTTTCTTTTTGTACATTTTTTTTTCTATTTGACTCCCTTTTACTACATTCTCTTGCCTTATTGCTTTGGCTAGATATTCAAGCACTATACTGAATAAGAGTGGAGAGGGTAGGCACTCTTGTTCTTGAATTTAGAGGAAATGCTTTCAGCTTTTACCCATTTAGTATAATGTTGTCTATAGGTTTGTTATATCTAGGCTTACTTATGGTGAGGTATGTTGCTTCTATTGCTAGTATCTTTAGGGATCATGAAATTTTTATCATGAAGAGATGTTGAATTTTGTCAAAAGACCATCTGCATCTATTGAGATGATCATGTGATTTTTGTCTCTGCTTCTATTTAAAGACTGCATTGTATTTGTTAGCTTGCATATATTGAACCATCCTTATATTTCTGAGATGAACCCAACTTGATCACAGTGTATGCTATTTTTGTTTTTGTTTTTTTGGGTCTGGTCGTGGGGCCTGAACTCTGGGCTTGGGCGCTGTCCCTCAGCTCTTCAGCTCAAGGCTAGCGCTCTACCACTTGAGCCACAGCACCACTTCCGGCTTTTTTCTTTTTGCTTACATGGTGCTGAGGAATTGAACCCAGGGCCTCATGCATTGCAAGGCACGTGCTCTACCATTGAGCCACCTTCCCAGCCCCAGGTGTTTCTTCTTATAACATTAAAAATATTGACTCTATTTAAAAAATTTTAAAATCATTTTTTAAGGCAGATTTTGCTGTCTAGCCCAGACTGACATCAAATTTCAGATCCTCCTGCTGTGACTTCTCGAGTGCTAGGATTATAGATAGGCATCTACTTACCATGCAACAAGTGCCTTTTTAAAATTAAGTTTCAATGTGTTTATTTCTATGTGCTTTTAGTAGATTGTCTGGATCTATTAAATCTTTCAGGTTTCTGATAATATTCCATTATTTTATACTTAAAAAGGTCTCTTTCCATTCTAAAGGATTTTGTATGTTCATCCAAATTTTAGTCCATTTATTTTTCTTTAATGTATTTTTTTATACTTTTATTTCTGTGGAGTATCTACAGTTAATTTATATCTATGGGAAGCTGTTTAATGAGTTTATCAGCAATTTGAAATACTTATTTTTAGTGTTTAATTTTTAATGTACTTTATTTTACTGGGTGAGTAGAGGTCTTACCTTAATTTTTCTCTTGAATGATGGTGGTTCCACTTTAATATCCATTAAGCTATAACCTTTATCAACCTGAGATATAACTCTCAGACATCAGAAACAAAACAACAATAAAATCGCAGACCAATTTATCCAGGGGCATTGAGAATGTCTTTATTAGGTATGAATAGTATAGTGTTCCACAATTCTGTTCCATATTTACTGCCAGTAAGCATGATAGCACTTAATTTTCAAGTACAAATGTTGTTTGCTTTTGTCAATATCTTCTTGTTTGTTTTCAACATTGGTAGTTATTTTGTGTCTCAGAACATCTTTTCTTTTTTTCCCAGCAGAACACCTCAAGGTAAAAATAGTAATTTTTAGCCGGGCGCTGCTGGCTCA